CCGGCCCCATGGACTTGTGTTCGTCCAGCTCTTCTAAATAGTCCTGAACCACTTCTTTCTCCACAGAGGGCTGGTCACCTCCTCCCCATGCTGTGCTGCCCAGTGCAGCAGTCTGGGAGCTGACCTTGTTCGTGAAGACAGAGGCAATAAAAGCATTGAGTACATTAGCTTTTTCCACATCCTCTGTCACTAGGTTGCCTCCCTCATTCATTAAGTTGCCCACACTTTCCTTGGCTTTCTTCTTGTTGCTAACATACCTGAAGAAACCCTTCTTGTTACTCTTAACATCTCTTGCTAGCTGCAACACAAAGTGTGATTTGGCCTTCCTGATTTCACGCCTGCATGCCTGAGCAATATTTTTATACTCCTCTCTGGTCATTTATCCAATCTTCTTGTAAGCTTCTGTTTTGTGTTTAAGGTCCGCAAGGATTTCACTGTTAAGCCAAGCAGGTTGCCTGCCATATTTACTATTCTTTCTACATCTCGGGATGGTTTGTTCCAGCAATCTCAATAAGGATTCTTTAAAATACAGCCAGCTCTCCAGGACTCCTTTCCCCCTCATGTTATTCTCCTAGGGGATCCTGCCCATCAGCTCCCCGAGGGAGTCAAAGTCTGGTTTTCTGAAGTCCAGGGTCCGTATTTTGTTGCTCTCGTTTCTTCCTTTTGTCAGGATCCTGAACTCGACCATCTCATGGTCGCTGCCTCCCAGGTTCCCATCCACTTTTGCTGCTTCTCCTAATTCTTCTCGGTTTGTGAGCAGCAGGTCAAGAAGAGCTCTGCCCCTAGTTGGTTCCTCCAGCACTTGCACCAGGAAATTGTCCCCTACACTTTCCAAAAACTTCCTGGATTGTCTGTGCACCGCTGTATTGCTCTCCCAGCAGATATTGGGGTGATTGAAGTCTTCCATAAGAACCAAGGCCTATGATCTAGTAACTTCTGTTAGTTGCCAGAAGAAAGCCTCATCCACCTCATCCCCTTGATCCGGTAGTCTATAGCAGACTCCTACCATGACATCACCCTTGTTGCTCACACTTCTAAACTTAATCCAGAGACTCTCGGGTATTTCTGCAGTTTCATACCGGAGCTCTGAGCAGTCATACTGCTCTCTTGCATACAATGCAACTCCTCCACCTTTTCTGCCCTGCCTGTCCTTTCTGAACAGTTTATAACCATCCATGACAGTACTCCAGTCATGTGATTTATCCCACCAAGTCTCTGTTATTCCAATCACATCATAATTCCTTGACTGTGTCAGGACTTCCAGTTCTCTCTGCTTGTTTCTCAGGCTTCCTGCATTTGTGTATAGGCACTTAAGATAACTCGCTGATCTTCCTGCTTTCTCAGTATGAGGCAGGAGTCCTCCCCTCTTGCACTCTCCTGCTCGTGCTTCCTCCCGGCATCCCACTTCCCCACTTAAATTGATCTAATCCTAACCCTTATAGTTAACTACTGAATTTGCTTGTTTCTCATTGCTCTTGAGATGTGTGACTTGGTAATACTGTGTTGCAGGATAGCAGTGAGATGCACTGCCAGAGATGGGTAGGGAATTTGCGATTAGTCTGCTTTTGTTATTCCTCTCGCTAGCCAGTGTTAATAATCCTTCACTTTCATAAGCATCAAGTTAATTGTTTTAATGATTAAAAGGAAATGTGGCCCCATATCATATGGTAACGTTCTGCTCCTTCCCATGGCTGAGAATTCTTCAAAGGCATAGTTGTCTGCATCGAGAGGAGCCTTACATTGTAAAGAGCCACACTTCTGGCTCAGTAAGTAATGGTGACATTGTTACTCAGATGTTATCAATTCAAACTACATACCTATGACCAAAAAATCAGACACATAGGAATGGAAGGGACCTCAATAGATCTAGTCCAGTCCCCTGCACTCTAAGCAGAACTAAGTAATAACTAGACCATTCCTGAGAGGTGTTTGTCTAACCTGTTCTTAAAATTCTCCAATAACAGAGATTCCACAACTTTCCTAGATAATTTATGCCAATGCTTACCCCAACCCTGACTGTTAGGAAGCTTTTCCTAATGTCCAACCTAAACCTCCCTTGCTGCAATTTAAGCCCATTGATTCTTGTCCTATCCTCAGAGGTTAATGAGAATAGTTTTTCATCCTCCTCCTCGTAACAACCTTTTATGCACTGTACTTGAAACAGAAAGATAATGTTAAAATTGAAAAACTTCTTTCCATATTTTAACCTCAGATCCTAATTCATTTTATATGTTAATGTTATACAGCAGTCTATTTTGCTCATATACAGATATATTGTCTATCTAGGGCATGCCAAGTATCCTGCCTAGCGCACTAGATCGGGGTAGGCAACCTTTCAGAAGTGGTGTGCCGAGTTTTCATTTATTCACTTTAATTTAAGGTTTCGTGTGCTGGTAATACATTTTAACGTTTTTTTAGAAGGGGTCTCTAAGTGTATATTATATAACTAAACTATTGTTGTATGTAAAGTAAACAAGGTTTTCAAAATGTTTAAGAAGCTTCA